ACCGCCCACTGCAGTACCGAACCTTCTCAGGGAATATGTGGCGTCGGAGTTGGAACGACTGCTTTCCTCTGGCCGCAACAACCGGTCTCAGGGAGGCTTCAAAGCTCCTCGGAAACATCGTTTCAACAACCGAAACAGCCGGAGTTACAACGAATGGCGCTAAATATCTGCCAATGGAATGTTGAGGGAATACAATCTGTGTTAAAGGTTATACCGCCTTCAGACTTTCAAGAGTTTGATATTGTATTCCTCTCGGAAACCTTTGCCACATCACCCTTTGATGTGGAGGGATTTTATAGCTTTCATTGCTGCGCTCAGTCATCTATTCGGGGTCGTCCAACAGGAGGCGTCACGGTTCTGTTGGGACCTAAGTTGGCGGGTGCGAAGCTCCTGCTAGCAGAAGATAACGTAGTCGTACTAAAACATGAAGGATTAACATTGATTGCAGTATACAGTAGCAGCGATCCATACTCGGGAGATTCAACGGATCAATTAATAGAGAAATTAACGCATGCAATTTCTCTTTCAGATGAAGATGATGTCATCGTCCTCGGGGGGGACTTTAATTGTAGGATTGATATTGCTCCCACTGAACGCTGTTCAGAATTTCTTGAAACACTGCGGGACTGTCATATGTGGGTTTGCAACCCATCCGATCAGCCCACCTTTTTTAGTGATCGTACTGGTCCTGTTATCAACGCCGCTAAGAGGTCTGGCTCCTCGACGATAGATCTCTTCGCAACGACAGCGGCAAAGACAGACGTCCTTTTTCAAGGATACGTCCCCAGTATGATTTCTTCCGGATTCAAGAAACACGTCCCTATAGCAATGATCATCTATGTGGAGCAATCCTCCTCAGCAGCGCGACCGCGCAAGAGACCTCTCGGGAAAAAGATTGACAAACAGCAGATGGGCCGATTATTACGTCAGTTTCATCCCCTTGCCTTGGAGACTCTGGACCCTGATCAAATGAATTCTGAGGTTTGTCGCCTACTTTCCACCTCGATAAGATGGCAGGCACCCCGGAGTAAACGTCGATCTGCGCCATGGTTCGATCGTCAGTGCTATGTGGCACATCGCGACCTCATGCGTTTACTTTGGGCCAAAAGACGTAATCCGGCTATTATAACCAAATACCGCGAGAGCCGCAAGTTATACCGTCGTTTATTACTCGAAAAACAGCAAAGACATGCAGAAGAAGTTGAGAAGAAGTTATTATTTGAAGCGGAGAAACGACCATATATTGCAGGGCGCTCCCCAACTTCCTTCAAGAGCTGTCCCATTCCAGCTGATGAAATGAAGTCTTATTTGCAGGAGCTACTAGCCGAACACGACACCATACCTAATGAAGTCCCTCCAACACAAGCCCCGGATTCGGAATGGAAACGTGAGTTCAGCGAAGCACTCGACTGCCCCTTCACCGTCACGGAGGTTAGCACAGTCATTCAAGGACTGAAAACCCGCAAGGCGGTCGGAGTGGACCAGATTTGTAATGAACATTTGCAGCAGGCCTCCTTACTTGTTCCGACTATTACGGCACTTTTCAACAAGTGCTTCGACGCAGGAAGAATTCCAAACGCTTGGAGGACTTGTGTTCTGAAGATGATCCCCAAGGATAAAGGCGACATCCTCTCGCCATCCTCATGGAGGGGGATCTCTAAGAAAAGCTGCCTGTACAAAACCTTTTCTGCCGTGCTGACACAGAGACTTAGTCTCTTCTTGGAGCTCACTGGAATCATTCCACAAGAACAGCACGGTTTTCGTCAACATAGATCAACGTCAACGGCGTGTCAAAAGCTTCTTGAGGACGTTAACGGCCATTTGCAGTTCAAGGGCCGTTTTGTTCATGCTGTCTTTGTCGACTTTAAGGCTGCTTTCGATAAAGCGCCGAGGTCAATTATCCTCAGAAAGCTAGCGGCAGCCTCCGTAGGTCAGAAAACACTCCGTCTTCTAAGGGACTTGCTGCAGGTCAATTTCGTTTCACTAGACGACGGCGTTTGTGAACACCCCCCTTTTGAACAAACAACGGGTGTTTCACAGGGTGACAACATTAGCCCGTTGCTCTTCAGCCTCCTTATCAGTGATCTCCCTGCACTCATCAAAGATCGGCATGAAAACGTAAAGATTTTGCTCTACGCAGATGATGTTGTGATGTACTGTAGAGTACGCACGGATCTACAGGCAGCCATGAAGACCCTAGAAGAGTACTGCGGATTAAATGGACTAGTCATTAATGTGGGGAAAACAAAGGCCGTGAAGTTTAGAAACGGGGGAAGATTGATTCGAGGTGACCGAATAACTTGCTACGGGGAGCAAGTCGAGTACGTCAACAACTTCAAATATCTTGGATTGGTGTTATCCTCGCGAGGCAACTGTTTCGGAACACACATTGCGGAACGCGTTAGAGCTAGTTTGGCTGCAGCGTCTTTCATTCGTCATCCGCAACGTTTATCGGTAGCTACGGCAATAGCTCTATTCAATCTGAAAATATTGCCAGTTGCTTCTTTTGGATTGGAGCTTATATGGGAACACCTGACGTCTGTTCAAATAGAAAAGCTTGAGAAAATAAAACCTACATTTTTAAAACGTGTGCTTGGTTTGCCTAGGAATACTCTAAATAGACTAGTTTATCTTTTGACTTCCACTGAACCTCTCGTAGAAACTCTGGTTAATCGATTGAAACTGCCTGTAACCCCCTCTTTACAGGAGTTCCGTATCAGGCTGGCCAGCAAACTAGATGAAGTACCAGATGAATTCTACCGCTCGGCGGCCATGCGTTCTAGTCATTGGAAGGTCACGGACCACCCGAATCGGCACCTAATCACACGGTACTCCGTGCATGGATTCCACCACATACTGTGTACGATACGACAGTTTCACTCACCAGGACCGAACTGCGTGTGCTCAAGATGTGGGCAGGCATGTTTCATTTACCACTTTGATTCATGCCCGGCAAGCGGATCATTGACAGAATTGGCCCAAAACTGATCTATCAAAGCTTATTTATATATTTT